CAACACGTCAGACTTGACGGACTTTTTATAGGATGACCATTATTTGCCTCTTTAGTTGCTAGTGCTGTCATCAACTCATACAGCTCTTCTTTTAAATGCGTATGTTTGCATTGCGATGTAGCTTCAGCTTGCCTTCTCAGGCCACATTTAGTTGATTCTTCAAATCGCTTAGAACAGTGGTTCCCAAAATTTTCTTAGTCGCGGCACCCTTTTTCGATTAAAATTTTTCCATGGCGCCCTACCCTAAGTATGACTATTCGTAAGTAAGAGATAAAAATAAATAAAACTCGTGTAGCTTCATTATTACTTTTACTTTATTAACATTAAATTAATATTTAATAATTAATGTGATGGATGAACCTGCAAATTACTGTACATTTTCTCAAATTTCGCGGCGCAAAGTTTGGGAATCATTGGCTTAGAAGCTAAATTGATGCTATTTAAATGGCCTTGATATTACCACGAGTCGTTTCTGTGGTTCCGGAATGACAAAAGAATTGGTGCTTTGCTACTGTGTTTCGTCAATGCACTTTCGTCATAACCAATGCGTGTGAGAAGAGCGACATAAAGTTCCTATTTTGCTTGTCCACGGCCAAATATCAGTGAAAGCAAGCAAAAATACCTGGTTCTTATGTCTTAACGTTTCCCGAGTCACATGATCTTTTCTAGCCAACTTCGGCAGGACTGCCTTAGGACGTGATTCACCATTTCATTAAATTGTAAGCTCATTAACTAATGACCTCCGCTGAACAGTATGAATATAGAAAACGAATACTAAAGTTCATTGAAAAGTGCATAACATCCGATTAAGGTCCTCTACACCCGACAGGTATAATCGTTATCTGGGTCTGCATCTGGGTGGATTCCACAAGTACATAGCAAAGTTTGGGCGCTTCTGTGATAGTAATTATAAAAATAATAATGAGAATAATTATAAGTATAAGCATGCAAATTAGCAACAGTTATTAACATTTATTATTGCCATTATTATATTTAGTGGGATGAGAATACCTTTTGGGAGGCAAGGCCGAGTAAAATTCAGCGGTATTGTGAAGCATGTTTGCTTGATTGTAGGAAAAACTCCACTAATCGTCCTTATATCACCTCGAGCCAACTAAGCTTTCCAGGTGCAAACAATGAAAGATTAATGATAATCTCGAAAACAACTCTCAACGAACCACTCTACTGCTAGTACTACTCTCATCAACTACTTTCATATGTCCTATCAGTCCATGTTATTTCACACGATGTAGCCGATGGCATTTGTCACTTCGGTCGAAGAGGAAGCTCTCCTGATCCTGTTCTAGGCTGCGGATCAGGCCGGCTAACTGGCTTGGTCTCAGGCAGGTTTCTGTGAAAAGCCGACCGACAGTTTTTGTTCTCCTCCTGTCAAGCGGAGCCTCATAACCGCCTGCAATATCAAGAATGACGCTTATCGCTTTCATGGGTCAGATGGACCCTCGACAGTTCGGATGCTGATCTGACAGGAAACAATTGTATTGAATGTCGTTGATACTTCCTTCCTCGTTGACAGACCCCGTGTTGCTGCCTGTACGAGTACAGGTCAGGCTGGCCAGACCAGCAGACAGACGACCACAAAGAGCATCCTCGCCGCAGACCCCATTCCACCGAGATCATATAGTCGGGCTTCGGAATGCCTGGAAAACAGACCCACGTCTTTTTGACACGGAAGTCAGAAGCAAAGAAGTTCATTTTCTCATGATTCTCAGGACATGATAATGAAATTCCTTTTATACGTCACCAAATTGTGTACGAAGAAAAACAATAGTTGCGATATGCTCGTGTTACCAGCTTCTGTTTATTGGCGTTGAAGCAGTTCATTTATTTTATATATTTTCTTAAAACCGCTCACGCACTTTAGGTTCATTTTGATCTCATTTTCTCAACATGCTCGTGGTATCAGGGGGACCTTGGAGAATGGGCTAGTGAGTTGATGCATCTGCGTTGGTATCGTGATCGGCAGCCTCAGCGCTGAGCTACAATTTGTCAAAGTGACAAGTCCGGCCAATCATCCAGTTAATTTGGTTGATCGCTCTGTTCTGTCGGTCTACTCGAGAACATGATGTGGCTTTTCTCACTGACGATTCTGACTACGAGTCTGGTGAAACGCATAGAAATGTACCCCGTTTTAGCTCGATACCGCAAAAAGGTGACTACTATAGCAGAGGTCGCATACATGAATACGCCCTGTGGGGTCGCCCTGGCACCATGATAAATTTGCAAAGACGAATTCATACCGACTCAATCAGCTTTGGGAGACTGCGAGCACTCCTAACGCAGCACCAGCTTGGTCTGTATACCCACCGCAAGCTAGGATCGAGACTTTTTAAAGTTATATCTTAGTCTATTTTATTATAATAAATATAATTTTATATATATTAGTTTATGTTGTGAGGAAATGGAAAAAATCCGAAGGATGTGAAAGAGGCCCAAGTAGGCGAACTCTGAGAAGATATAACGTACAAATTATGATGTTTAAGTGTGAATGAAGAGTACGAGTTCACACCCGCTCTGCTCGAACGAAAGGGTTTGCAGAACGTGAGAGATCTGAGCACTTTCGAAGACTGAAGGACACCCACCAGGTGACACGCAGCTTTGTAAGTTAGGCGGAAGGATCATAAAAAGAGGCACAAACGAATAATGTTTTGCCAATGATGCTTCACATACCCTCCGATCTAAAACTCAGAGAGGGAAGAAAAAGCTCATTTTGTAATCTTCTTCGACACGATGCTTGTGAGTTTTGGTGGAGGAAGCAGAACTCGCCTATTTCAGACTAGTAACTTGTCGTGAGAATAAAGTTCACTCTGCTTGACCTTCTTCCGAAAGCCTATCAGAAACAATTGCTTAATTTTTTTACATTCCAAAATGGTTCGAAATTTTGATATACCCTCATGCCTTGTTTCCTTTGTACGTGATCCGCTCCACAGATTTCCGCTGGAACATCGCTGGTCTCCTGAATCGCCGATTCAACCTCAGCAAGCCCGACTATGATTTTCCTCTTCACATCAAAACCTCGAGCACAGGCGAACACTTCAAAATCAGCGCGCTTCAGATTTTCCCCGAGGCCATGCTACCCGGTCCGGAAGTGCTGTTTCATCTGGTCTTCCAACCAAAGGTCGCGCCCAACGAAACTTACCTTTTCGCGATTCGGGATCCAGACGACACCCTAAGACTAAGTCTCTCCTTTGTTAAGGTAGTCGAATTTCAGGATTCTGTGTGGATTGGGGATACATTTTTTCCATAGTTCCCTTTTACTAAATTACTTTATTCATATAT